GACACAAAATGTCACATGTTGTAAGAAATGTCCAGAATATTCTTTCTTACTTGGATTCTGGAAAAAAAGAGAGAGAAAAGAAATGTCTACAACAGGCAAATTCATAGATATAGAGAGTGGACTGTGGTTACGAGGAGAAGGGGTAGAGGGGAGTGAGGAGTAGCTGCAAATAGGCACAGGGTTTCTTTCTGAGATGATGGAAATGTTCTGGAATTCAATAGTGATGGTGGTTTCACAACATTGCAAATATACTAAAACCCACTGAATTGTACACTTTGTTTCTTTCTTTTTTTCTTCATTTATTTGTGGCAGAGTCTCACTGTGTTACCCAGGCTGGAGTCTAGTCACACAATCTTGGCTCACAGCAACCTCCACCTTCCAGGTTCAAAAGATTCTCCTGCCTTAGTCTCCTGAGTAGCTGAGATTTAAGGTATAGGCCACCTTGCCTAGTTAATTTTTGTATTTTAGGTAGAGATGGAGTTTTGCCACGTTGGCCAGGCTGGTTTCAAACTCCTGCCCTCAAGTGATCCACCCGCCTTGACCTCCCAAAGTGCTGAGATTACAGGCGTGAGCCACCGCAGCTAGCTGAATTGCATACTTTAAAACGTTGAATTTTATGTCATTGCAAATAAAACGCAAAGGGAAAAAAAGAACCCATTCTAGGAAGACCTGAGTCTTCCCCACCCTCACCATGGCTGGAGGCTGGGTGGATGCGGTAGCCAGGCTGGAGTGCCCCTCCCAGGGAGTTAGAGAGGCTGCCCTGGCAGGGGTCTGAGGGCTGCATCACCACTCCTGGTGGAGAAGGGAGAGAAACAGTTGACACATCTTAAAACTCACCAAATGATATGACATACATGACCTCCCTGGAAACACAAGTGTGCTTTTTAAATAAACATTTTCTGCTGGGTGCGGTGGCTCACACCTGTAATCCCAGCACTTTGGGAGGCCGAGGCAGGTGGATCACCTGAGGTCAGGAGTTCCAGACCAGCCTGGCCAAGATGGTGAAACCTCATCTCTACTAAAAAATACAAAATTTAGCTGGGTGTGGTGGTGCACACCTGTAATCCCAGCTACTCAGGAGGCTGAGGCAGGAGAATCGATTGAGCCTGGGAGTGGAGGTTGCAGTGAGCGAGATCGTGCCACTACACTCCAGCCTGGCGACAGAATGAGACTCCGTCTCAAAAAAAAAAAAAAGAGAGAGAGAGAGAAAAAAATATATAAACATTTTCCCTGACTATAAAATAAACATTCTAAGAAATAATGGAAGATACAGAAAAGCATCAAAGTCACCTATTATCTCGCCACCTGATTTTACCGTTCCTGGTTTATGCACACCTGTCCAACAGGAGTGACTATTTGGACCATTCTAAATGTTTGATTAGGTGAACTAGCACCTACAGGGCTGGTGTCAGCCCTGGGCTGGGTGCTAGCCACACAAAGGAGATAGGCAGAGCTGCGTCTGGTGGCTGCAAGCTTGAGACCTGTGTCCCCTGATGTTCACACTGCTCCTTTTCTCTTTCTAAATAGTATTTATATCCTTAAAATGCCCAGCAACTTGAAGAACTGTTGTCAGGGTAATGATGGCAACAATCACTGCTCATGGGACCCCTGGGCCAGCAGCATAGAGGCATGTGTTGCGGGGAGAGGATGTGTTCTGTGAATGGTGGCACTTTGGGGTATTCTCTTTTCTCCTAGCTCTGAGTTCTCAGACTATAAACTTATAGGCAATGCTTTTCCTGCATCACTTGCCTCCTCTTTAGACCTGAGCCTCCCTTAAAGGACTTCGGCTCTGAAGGAAAAGCTGCCCATATTGGCCCTTCTAAGATTAGCCCTGTTAGAGCCCCTGCCTTACTGCCACCAGTTGCTGGAGTACAAAGTCAGGTGTTTCTGCCCCCATAGACAGTGCCTGCCGACCTAGAGGGAAAGAGGAGCCTGGCTGGTTCCACCCTGTGTATGAAAGAAGGGTCCCTTCCCTTGGGCATTAGTGGCTGGGCAGGGGGAGGGGGAGAGCACCTCTGCCAGGGTGTGGCTTCTGACCCAAAGCAGGAGAGGAGGGCCTACTGTGGCAAATCCCTGCCCTGAACAATGCCCTCTATAATCCTTCTCCACTGTATTCACTCAATCTCACCTCTCAGAGACCATGCACAACTCACACCTATGCTCCTATTGGGCAGTCCTCACTAATTTTACATGGTACACACTCTCCAATCCATTGACTTCCCTCTGACTCAATTCTTTTCATCAAAGACATCATCAGGTATGGTAAGTTACTGAAAAAACCTCCTGGTAGGTTTTGCACAGTCACTGCGGATACCCTACAAGCCACTCCTTGTTCTTCAGTAACCCTTTTTGTTGTTGTTATATTTAGAGATTTACTACTGAAACTCAAAGTGTATGGTGGAGCTGCATCAGCATCACCTAGGTGCTTCTTAGAAATGCAGAATGTTAGGCACCATCCCAGACCCACCTAAACAGAAACAGCATTTAAAAAACTATATAGATTTTATTTTTTAGAGTGGTTTTAGATTCATAGAAAAACTGAGTGTAAAGTACAGAGGATTTCCATATACCCCCTCCCAATATATTCACAGCTTCCCCCACCATCTACATCCTGCGCCAGAGCAGTACATTTGCTACAACTGATGAATCTACAATAACACATCATCACCGCCCCAGATCCAGAGTTCACACTAGGGTTCACTCCTGATATTGCAATATTCTATGGGTTGGGACAATTCACAATAACTTATATCTGTCATTACAGTATTAGCAAAATAGAATCACTTCTCTAAAAAAAATTCCCTGTGCCTCAAAACCCCTAGGTGACCGGTATGTGTAATTAAAGTGTGAACAGAGCTGGGGAAGACTACACCACTCCCCTTTGTAAAGCCCTTCCAGCTTCCTGAATAACATGCAGATTCATGACCGTAGCTCACAAGCACAGTGGGGCCTGGTTCTTGCTCTTGGGCCATTCGCTCCTCTCCTCCTTTTCTAGCTCACTGCCACTCCTTGCTGGCAGGGGAAGACAGCACTTCCTCTGGCAGTGCCTGTGCCCTGCCTTCAAAGCACTTAGCTTTGTTTGCTGGCCACACCTTCACACATTCGAGTGATTATTGGATGACTTTTCCTCTTCCTAGTTATCATTTTTCAAATGATATTGCAAATTTCACAAACACAAGAGCCATGTCCATTTTCCTCACAACTTGTCCCAGGACCAAGAATGGTCTCTTGCATGCATGGGATGCTCATGTTTGTTGAATTAATAAATGATTAAACCAAAAAGTGAACAGCTGTTGCCCTGACCAGAATTCTTTCTCCATTACCCATCTGCCCCTGTAAAGCCTACCTTCGGTGCTGCAGGCCAGCCTGGTTTCCCAGATCTTGGGCTCTTACAATTAGGGGAAAGTAATGCATTGCTTTTTGCTTGTTTTACATGGGTTAGCTTTGCCTTCCCCCAACTAACATAGGCAAACCTCTCTGAGGGCAGGAATCCTAGCCTCAACTTTTATGGCCCACCTGGCGCACCGTCGGTGGTTCATTGACTCAGTCATAGCAGCAGTAAAACCAGGGTGTAGCTGGAGAACAAGGTGCTTTCCTAAACATCTTTATTTAGCTCAAAGATCTCCTTCCATGTACCTTTGACTCTAATTTTCCTGGTACAAGTTCTAAAGTCTGGGTTTTAATTTTTATTTTATGTCTTCTTTTGCTTTTTTATTGTTCTTTCTCTTTCCGGCTCTCTTCCTCCTTGCCCCCCTAATTTCTGGGAAACCTGTACATATTTCCTTCTAAATATTTTAAACTCCTTTGTACTTCCCAGAAGACTAGTTTGGGAGTGCTCCCCCAACTTCCCAGAAGGAAATTGTAACTGTTGGAAATGTAATATAACTGTCAAATATATACAAAATCTGAGGTGTAAATTGTGAAATGTAAGCCATGGTTCCCTTCATTCTAAAACAATGTAAAATAGCTCTGGACAGAAAATTTTTAAGGACCACTATTGCAGTCAAGTAATCTGTGTGTCCCCAGCTCTCCTCCCTTCCCTCTGCCTCTCTCTCATACCTCTGATGTTTTAGGCAGTACTTTAAGTGAGGAGTTTTTAAGGCCAGGAACCTTAATAGTTGCATCTTTGCAGACTGGCAAACCATGCTGTAGCCCAAGCTACTTCTTTATTTTTGGGAAACCAGTAGGCATGCTGCTCACTAAAAAGTAGATCTTTTGTTTTCTGACTTAAAAAAAAAAGTCAGAACCATCCTGCCAGCAGGGACAAGCCTCACCCTTCTTGACAGTCCCGAAAGTCCAGCACTCTTAAGATCACCTGAGCAGGAACAAAAGCCTCTAGAAGTCAAATTATTATTTGCAGGACATATATGTAATACCTATGTAGCAGATTAAAAATAACTAAAAATATAATTTTGTGCTAAATCTGACACCACTTAAAGTCAAATGCCAATGTTGATAAAAGATCTCAGAATCCAAAGCAGAACAAATAAAATTAATGTATTAAGAGGAATTAAGAAGATTAACGTCATTAAGAGGAATTGTCCTCAACTACTCTCCTGCCTTCAAATTGGAAAGATCACTATTTTTCAATTTTAGAGGCAGAATACTTCGCTGATTTCTATCATGATAACATAGTTTGGGACTGGACTCTGAGACCAGTACTGGCACATCACAAAATATAAATGAGCATCTCTTATTCATGGACGAGACCATTGTGAATCTCTGGCTGTACGATTTTGTTAAAAATAATACTATCTCTCTCACCCTTCCTTGAAGGTCTGGGTTCTTGAGTTAACTTGGTTGCTAACTTGCTGTGTGAGGATAGGCAGGTCCTTTAGCCTCTTTGGACCACAGTTTTTTCATCTTTAAAATGTACTGAAAACACCCTGAAGGTTCCTTCCAGCTTATAGGGTAATAGAAGGGAGCAGCTCAGAGAACCCCACCTCCTTTCTCTTAACCCTGTACCAACTGACTCAGTTAAGTTCCTGAAAGTTGCTTACCTGAACAGATGTGAAAAAGACCAAACAGCACCAACAGAGGAAGGAACATGAGGTATGGACCCTTGGATGGTGTTGTTCCCTGCCTCCGTGCGTGGCCCATGGCTTCAGATGCTTGGGGTCAAAAGTGAAAGCCAACAATTTGGAGCCAAGTAAGACCAGGGCACTTTCCAGGTACAAAACAGGCAGGGCTGATGATAATCCAATTGCCACACGTAGAGGATTCTCCAGTGAGAAAACACATTGACCAGAGTTTGGATAGTGTTTCCGGGCTTCAAAGATTGTGGATATAGTTTCACAACCTGAAAAAGGAACAAATAAAATTCATCCAGGAAGGAAGATGTGCCTACTGTCAGTTGTAAAACTCCCTAGTTGCCTGTTAAAATTAGTTGGAGATCTTAACCTAAGCAACCTCTAAAGCATGGTGTGACCCTGAGAAAACGCAAGTTGAAATTCTGTGATAGACCCTACCTTGTACTGGTTCCAAGAATCAACCACAGCCCTTCCATGAAAGGGTTTTCTACTTAATGGATGTGGTTAAGACTTTGTTAGAAACACAGAGAACTGTAAGGACTCTCCATATCTGTTAGCCAACCTACAAAAGTTCAAATCCTCTTCTGAACATACCAAGTAGCACAGAGCAGGCAGTAAGGGTGTATTTTGTCCAAGGGAGAACCTAAGTTATGAAACAACTTCTTTCTTGACATATTAACATAGGAAAAAAAAGTATCTCAATTCTTTAAACCCTGTGTTCAAATAATATATCATAAAGGGGTGCAAGATTTTAATCAATAGAAAAGTCTATCAGTAAAAAAGGATGGAAAAAAACACACTGCAACCATTACTTACTCAAATTATGTACTCCAGGGCCAGGCGTGGTGGCTCACATCTGTAATCCCAACACTTTGGGAGGCTGAGGTGGGCAAGGCACAGAGCGACAGCGAGACGCTGTCTCAAAAAAAAACGTGTACTCTCATGTGAGACGGCTAGTGATTAATTTTCCAGTAAATACATCAAAATTGAGAAATGAAAATGAACACTGTGCTCCACCGTCATCCCTTCAGGCTGCTAGCAGGACACAGCCCAGTGCTGCTCAGAGAATGCATGAGTGTCGTCTTTGGGGACCACCGTGGAGCTAGTGTTCCAGCCACGCCATATTGTCTTATTAGCCATCATCCATTTTAGGCAGGATTAGTTAAAAGAGACTTATTCGCCAGAATTTTTTTTCTTGAGATAGAGTCTCTTTCTGTTGCCCAGGCTGGAGTGCCGTGGCGTGACCATATCTCACCACAGCCTCAACCTCCCGAGCTCAAGCAATTTTCCCACTTTCACTAGAATTTCACTGGTTTGAGAAATTCAAATACGGCCCACAAAAATAATATTTGCTACCATCTGGGCCACAATTCTGACTATGATGCTCCAAATGTGTCAGGAAGCCACAGTCTCCTGTGGGAATGAGACCCTGAGTGTTCCTTTGAGGGCAAGCACGGATCCAGGAGGTGGTAATGGTGGTATGTTTGTTAAAAAGCAGTCAGGTTGCTGGTAACTAGTTCTATCAGCTAGTTATCCCATAGTAAAATAACAGTAAATGTACTTACTTGCTGAAGAAAAATTCACTTTTTCTTTAAATCCTTTGATTTCAGGAAGAGGCTCTCTTCTGAGATGTTCTCTTTTTGCAGTCTATAAAACAATGAGAAGTCACTCCGTTTTGCTTTTGGTGATCCGTCAGAGAGGTGACATTTCCCCCTTCTCACTTCCTGTTACTTGACAGAGGATTTGAGTTTGCCCAGAAGTACTTCGTCAGTGCCATGAGTTGGGGATGGTGTTTGAGGAAGCTCCCTCTGCTACTGTCTTCTAACGGGTACTTTTTGTTTGTTTGTTTGTTTTTTAACATTTTATTATTATTTTTTATTGATTTTAGGTTTTGGGGTACATGTGAAGAACATGCAAGATTGTTGCATAGGTACACACATGGCAGTGTGATTTGCTGCCTTCCTCCCCTTCACCTATATCTGGCATTTCTCCCCATGCTATCTCTCCCCAACTCCCCACCCCCCACTGTCCCTCCCCTGTTTCCCCCCAACAGACCCCAGTGTGTGATGCTCCGCTCCCTGTGTCCGTGTGTTCTCATTGTTCAATACCCACCTATGAGTGAGAACATGCGGTGTTTGATTTTCTGTTCTTGTATCAGTTTGCTGAGAATGATGGTTTCCAGGTTCATCCATGTCCCTACAAAGGACACAAACTCATCGTTTTTGATGGCTGCATAATATTTCATGGTGTATATGTGCCACATTTTCCCTGTCCAGTCTATCATCGATGGGCATTTGGATTGGTTCCAGGTCTTTGGTATTGTAAACTGTGCTGCAATACTTTTTAGAGGGTGTGGCTAAGGCAAACTACACAGCGGCCTCCCTCACCCCCATGCACAAACTAACAAACATGAAACACCAAGAGTACCAAGCCTAGTGGAAGAGAAGAAAGGTGCCCGAAAAGAGGGAGGGGCAGCCCGCTAGCCTTGCTGTGTGATGGGAGGCGAGCTTCATGAGCTGGCTGTTTCTGTGCTGGTGTCAGGTTTTGTTTTAGCACCCAGAGTTACTCCTGAGTCCCTGCAGAAATGAGCTGTCGACCTCATATGTAGGGGACACTTCTGGGAGAGTGCTCAGCTCATAAGACCACCCTCAACTGTACTCCCAGCTCTGCATCCCACCATCTTCAGACTGGACTCCTGGCAGCCACACTGGACAGTGAACTCTGATCACCCCAGCCACAGCTGAGTTCACCTCAGGAGGGGTGAGGAGGACTTTAGTCGTGCCCATGACTCCTATTTCCAGCTAGCTTGCCACCCACCCCTCTGCATCCCTTTGTTGTAGGATTCTGGAGCTCCTGTGGGTGAGCAGCTGACCCATCCTGGACCAGTGTACCTGTTTGCACAAGTGGAACCTGACAATACCTTGCATGGGCCTGCAGGATCCACAGTCTGAGTCTGGCCCCACCCAGGGATTCTCTGATGTCTTGGCATTCTTTGGAAGTTCTGCACTCAAGCATGTGCAATCCAGAAATGCAGGGAAGTCGATGCCCATTGAGCTGCTCTTGACCAAAGGGGGTTGGAAGCTGGTGGATAACTGCTTCCTCCTTTGCCTCCCAGGTGAAGAGTTCTGAGACACATTGAATGAGGCTCCCTAGAAAGTCCCCATGGGATCAAGTACCAGTGGCCCCTAACAGTGGTCACCTCTGTGAGGCTTCCTTGTACTGGCTGTGCCTCCTTCCTGGGCCTGCATTGCTGGACCCATGTTTCCAAAAAAATCACTTTGCTCAAACCTTTATCTCTAGCTTGGCTTTCTGGAGAATGCAGGCTAAGGCAGCAGGGATATTCGGTGTGGTGGAAATACGATAGTTTTTCTTCTAAATTAAACGTGTAGAATGGTGAGTCCATTTAGAGAGAAAAGAGAAAATGACAGTAGACACAGTATACAAATATGGCAAACATTGTGAATAGGGCATAGAAGTGTCTGAATATTGACTTAAGGCTATTAGAAAACAAATTTTCCTTGCAAAAATTACAATTTGAGCTGCTAGCCATCCTATATTTTTCAGTGTTATTGAAGACAGAGATCCCTTTAAATAAAAAGCTGACTGGGAAGGATGAAAGCAGAGGCTTCTGGGTGTCCATAGGGTTGGGAGTGAAAATCATCCTAAAGGAAGAGAAGGAAGGAATAAAGGCTTTCTACTTCATGGTTGTGCTTAGCCTCTGATCAACCTGTGGTCTGGCAAACACAGGCCTTCTCTAGAGGGAATATATCCTAAGGCTCAGCTAGTGCTACCTCTAAAAATTGCTAGCAGCATCTGAGACAGATCTTATGCATGAGTGAGTGACAGCTTATACGATGCACTCTGATAGGTCCACTTCTAAAGCATCACTACTACTGGCACCCAACAATGCATACATTTCCTGCCACAGGATGCATTCATTTGGGCGAGGCAGGCTCTTCAAACTAAGGTACTTGCATCCAGAGAATAACTGGGAATTTTCACAGGGTATGTGGGCACTAATAGTTTTAAGATAATCAATTTTCAGGTTTTCAGTTTCATTATGTATTCTTTCATAAAACTTAATTAACCTGCAGTGAGAACTGGGCCTTCACCTCATGTAAAAAGAAAGGCTTACCTCTCATGCAACCTTACTCTTATGATGATGCAATATTCTAGAAAGTTAAAAAAAACTTCAGAATGTCAAAGGGGCTGTTTAAAATATTGATGTTTTAATCTATGTGGCTTCCTTAAATTGAGACAATATAAGCCCAAGATAGGGCCTTGTGTCCCTCCAAAGTCTTGTATATATTACCATTAAGTAGAAACATGGCTTTAGAAATACGTGTATCGCTGGGTGAGTGGCTCACACCTGTAATCCTAGCACTTTGGGAGGCCAGGCCAGGTGGATCACCCGAGGTCAAGGGTTCAAGACCAGCCTGGCCAACATGGCGAAACCTCGTCTCTACTAAAAATACAAAAATTAGGCGGGTGAGGTGGCCAGAGCCTTTAATCCCAGCCACTCAGGAGGCTGAAGCATGAGAATCGCTTGAACCTGGGAGGCAGAGGATGCGGTGAGCCAAGATCAGGCCATTGCACTCCAGCCTGGGCGACAGAGCAAGACTCTGTCTCAAAAAAAAAGAAAAGAAAAAAGAAATAGATGTATTGTAGTGGGGTGGCAGGAGTGGTGGAAGCTTTTATTTAATAAACTTGATTCTACTTCCTATGTGTCATCAATGATGCCATCCTTCCCACACCAGCCAGAAAGACAGCAAAGTGTGTGGGTGAGAAATACTGACTGCAGCAGCGGCTTCCTTCATCTTAGCAACGAGTTTGTGTCAGGGTTTAGTGGATACTGCCCTGTTTACCTTAGATTTGGAATACTCAAGCTTTGGAAATCATGCAGACAGGACTTGCTATGAAAGGACTCCACTGCACTGTCACCCTCTGTTTTAGCAGAAGGGGCCTAGCGAGCACCCTCCTTCACCTCTGTCTTGTTCTGATCTCAGATGCACATTTTGAATAATTGCAGGGAATATAGATGAGACAATTTCTGCCTTACCTTTGGTAGGTCAACATTACATTTTCAAGTAAAGGGAACATAGATTAGAGGTAAGTTCCTGCTTTCTATTTTCTTGAACGTTTATTCAGATCTTAGAAGAAATGTTTTCATTGATTTTTGTCACTTCTACTTGATACATTATTACAATGCACTGGAAGTGATATTTTTCCCAAGTATTTAAAGTAATACAAAGTTACAGATGTCAACCTAAAATGAGCAAAGAAATACAGTTTTAGAAATTTCTTTTTTCTTCTTTTTTTTTTTTTTTTTTGAGACAGAGTCCTGCTCTGTCGCCCAGGCTGGAGTGCAGTGGTGCGATCTAAGCTCACTGCAACCTCCGCCTCCTGGGTTCTAACAATTCTTCTGCCTCAGCCTCCTGGTAGCTAGGATTACAGGAGTGTGCCACCACGCCCAGCTAATTTTTGTATTTTGTTTTTCTGTTTGTTGTTTTTTGTTTTGAGACAGCGTCTCACTCTGTCACCCAGGCTGGAGTGCAGTGGCATAATCTCAGTTCACTGCAACCTCCACCTCTGAGGTTCAAGGGATTCTTCTGCCTCAGCCTCCTGAGTAGCTGGGATTACTATGCCACCATGCCCAGCTAAATTTTGTATTTTTAGTAGAGATGGGGTTTCATCATGTTGGTCAGGTTGATCTTGAACTCATGACCTTGTGATCCGTCTGCCCTGGCCTCCTAAAGCGCTGGGATTACAGGTGTGATCCACCGCACCCGCAGCCAGCCTAATTTTGTATTTTTAGTAGAGACGGTGTTTCACCATGTTGGCCAGGCTGGTCTTGAATTCCTGACCTCATGTTCTGCCTGCCTCAGCCTCCCAAAGTGTCGGGATTACAGGCGTGCGCCACTGAGCCCAGCTGAGTTTTAGAAACTTCACAAGGGAGTATATGAATAAAAATTTTGACAGTTATAGACACCCTCAAATTTTAAGAATCCCAGCGAAATCCTAACCAGCTTTGGAGAAAGACATGTTAAATAACTTTGCCATTAGCATCTTGATGTCACTTAATCAGGGTCTGAAAGACAGGACCATCAGGCAGGTGCTTTACAGCATTTCCTGCATTCTGATTGTAAAATTCAGAAGGCTTTCTTCCAGGATTATGCACTAATGGAACAGTTTTTAATCCCTAGGAACATGACATATGGACCACAGATTTCTAAAGTAAATTTCTGGACACTGGATGTGGTGATGGATGAAGAAGGGCAAAGGAAGCCAAGCCCGAGTACCTATATTGCTGGAAAATAAAACAAAACAAAACCAAGTGAAAGATTTAAAAGGAGTCCAGGCGCAGTGGCTCCTGCCTGTAATCCCAGCACTTTGGGGGTCCAAGGCAGGAGGATCACTTGAGGCCAGGAGTTCAAGGCCAGCCTTTCCAACATGGTGAAACTCCATCTCTACAAAAAAATACAAAAAAAATTAGCTGGGCGTGGTGGTACACACCTGTAATCCCATCTGCTCCAAAGGCGGAGACATGAGAATCGCTTAAACTTGGGAAGCAGAGGTTGCAGTGAGCTGAGATCACACCACTGCACTCCAGCCTGGGTGACAGAGCAAGACTATCTCAAAAAAAAAAAAAAAAAAAAAAACTTTAAATGAGTTTGTTTCAAGTTCTGAGGAGCAGGCCCAGGGTTGGAAAAGAATAGAGCAGGAATTACTGCACCTCCAGTAAATTCTTCATTGCCACTTACTTTTTAATCCATCCCTGGTTTTACTGTAATAAAG